TATTACATTACATTTAATGTTTATTTAAATCATCAACATATATTACATTACATTTCTACTTCAGATATACTAATAATACATTCTAATAATACTAATATATCCTAAAAATAGCAGATTGTCATCGGCAACGGCAAAAGAGTGGAAACATCATTCGTACTTGTTCGAAGAAAGTCTCACGTAACTGCCGAACGGAAAGTCCGTTGTTCGCAGCAAGTCCGTTGCTCGAGTCACGTAACGGTCAAACAGAAAGTCCGTTATTCGCAGCGTCCGTTATTCGAGGCGTACGTTATACGAGGCACCACTGTACTACAATAATTACTCAGGGCAGTTGTTGGCGTCTAATATCCGATGCCTCCAGAAAGAACTCGCGGCCAGCAATCTTAATGTAATCGTTTTTATTTCTCATGTTTTTATCCTCGATAGATTTGCTCACTTTTATATTAAAATTAATGTTTTTATTTTCTCTCGGATTTGATTTTTATACATTAAGCGGTTTCGTTTAATTATTTTCAAAACAAAAATTCTATCTTCTTGCGTGACGTAGAAATTGTGGAAGTAACGAAGAACAATAGAAAAGTAGTTAAACTATAGAAATACAGGTATCCCTCGTATAACACGTTCCAAAAAGTACGTGTTATGTGAATCCGTGCTATAATAAGCGAAGGACTAGTGCAAAACATGGTGTTAGATTCCAAAAGTTTATAAGAGTATGCAATTTTTTTCCAGAACTATGTTTATTAAAGCAATTGATAATTTATTCTAATCGATAATTAACTAACAATTACAACTAAATGTACTGAATGACGCTGTAGCATTAATTTTAATTAAACCTGTGAAATTTCTTATTACGAATATTGTCTTCTGATCTGTTCTCTTTTCTGTCGACCTTGATTAGTAGTCTCTCCAACATCAGAATTTTTTTATTTTTACCATAGAAATTTTTATGAATGACAAAATAAAAATATGTTATTAATCGCAAATTTGTTCTACCGGGTAAACGCTAGCCGCTAGAACAAATTTTAAATTTATAACTTATTTTTATTTAGTCATCTATTAAAAACCATTCATTCCAGTTCCGATCGATTTTTGTTTCCAGAACAGGTGTTCGAGTATCGAGATATCGCCGTATTTTATTCGTCAATTTTACGAATGATTACTTACATATTACTAAAATGTTTAATAACATTTACATAAAAATGTTTAAATAAACGTTACTAAATACGAAGTTTAGTCTATAAAAACAACACACGGCGACAGCGATAAAGACTAAAGTCTGAAAACAACAATGACACCTGGTTGATAAAAAAGTTAAGACATGAAAGAAAAATTGCCCTATTAGATTTCCTTATAGTAAATCTGACGAAAGAAACAAAACAAATTGAAAATTTCAATATTCTAAAATCCGTTCACAAATTTGAGACATCGTGCATACTTCAATGAAAAAATATCGAATAACGGAGTTTACGCTTAAAAAGTGTGAAATTTTTTACGGAGAATTTCCTAAATTATTAATGGTATATTGTTCATAAATGTAGAAAATTCAATATTCCATAAACAAGTATATTTACTTACTGAATTTTTATTTCAAAACAAGAATTTTTAGCTATTACCTAACGAATTTATTACTGTTTTTTTATTTAAATATGAAAATGTTTCTACTTACCCCATTAAATACTTGAGCTGTATAATAATGCATATCGGGATACTGTTGTAACAATTGAGTCTTGTTTGGTCGAGCATATTCACATCTGAAAAAATCAATCGTTTAACATTTATAAATTATTTTTTTACTCGCCCAAAATTTAATGTGTCTAGTGTTACTTGGTGTTTCGAACCACTCTAATTTCGAACGTTTCAGTATTCTAGCGCCAAATTTCATAGAAGTACGACTGTATTCCTCTTTACGAATCTGTCCAGCAAACTCGACGGTTTAATAAAATTGATTTCTCTTGTCTTAATATAAGAATCCACAAAGCAAATTTAACAGTCAGAAAATTGCTTCAGGATTTATTTTGTTTCGAAAATAAAGCGTACACATAAAATACTGTTTTAAGAAATATTAAGATCAAAATATTACAATAATATTTTTTTCGATGTATTTAAGTAATTAACCATGAAATAAATAAAAAAAAACTATTTCGTTAAGAAAGTGAAATTTCGAAGATAATGGATGCGTTTCAATACAAATAAGATAATTATATAACTTATAATTTTTGCTAAATGATATAAAATAGATAAATAAAGCGATTTCTTATCTATTTTAATAATACACACGTTTATCGACAAAAATCGCAGATCTTTAAGAAATTTTCTAATCAATTTGATAAATTACGCCAATAATTAATATTCAGAAAAAAGAATCATGCACAAAACATTGCTTATTCGCACGTGAGGATTATATTATGATATTCGCATATTCGACATTTTAAATAATATAAGCAAAATAAGTTCAAACTTTATTTAGCAAATTACGAAATATAAAAAATTGTCAGGACGAACAAGACAAATAGAGGATGGGGAAAAAAATATTAAATTCGGAATTATTTATAAAATACGAAATAAATATACGTTACTTGAATTTCACAGTTTCGTATAAAAAACGGATTCTCCAAGTCGAATATTTCATTATTTCGTCACAGGATCTATTTGGATTTTTCGAGTACTGTCAAATTTGAAAAGTAAATGAATTCGATGTTTAATTTTGAACTTTAAGAAAATGGTTTTACTTACTTTCGAGTAGGCAATCTTAATGACTTGATCTCGATTTTCGGATCCTGATAGGAAAAATACTTATTTATGTATTATTATTGTGTATATTATTTTTAAAATAATAAAACAAAAAACCTAATTATTTTCTAAGTGTATTCAATAATATTAAATTCAAAAATATTTGTGAATTAATAGTCTGAAAATACTAATAAATATTTTTATATATTGAAATTAGGAAACAATTGAACAAAATTAAAAAAACTAAATTGAAATTTATAAACAATTTCTATTATTATTATTTTTTAATGCCAAGTAAGCTGCATGCAATACTACAGGAAGTATTTGATAAACAATGGGTTTGATGGTTTGTAGCAGACCTGGCTAACCCGCGGCTAGTCACGTTAAATTGTGTAACCCTCTAAGCGATATTATATATCAATTAAAACTTTTGTTTCCCGTTATGTGTATACCAAAACAATTAAATAAATGAAAATTTGCATGTGTCATTGTTATAATGCGCATGTGCGAGTACGAACTCTTGGTATAACAAAAAAAAATCTTATTCATTTTGTTTTTATTTTACTTTTTTAAAAGCATGTTTTCCTAAATTGTGCCCCACCGTAATATTATGCGTGATCAAAGTGGCCCTCAAAAGAATTTGGGTTTGTAGGCCTGGTTTGTAAGAAATTTTCTTGAAACAATGACCTTTGTCACTAATATACTCTAAAATTATTCAAATAAAATCGATGTAACTGTAAGAAACAATTAAAAATGATAGTAAATATCATGAATAATATTTTCTTCTTAAACAATACATATATGGATGAATATTTATCTTCGTAAAATATAGAAAACTCGGTTATACAGTTATACACATAATATATTTTATATAGGCCCTAATATTTACAATAGCTCGAACTCCATGAAGTGTCAGAAAATATCGGATGGATCTGTTGGATTATATGTTATGTTTATAAATATAAATTCAATTTTTGTAGTGATGAACCGTTTTAATCTAAGAATCTTTATACAGTAGAACCTCGATTATCCGGACTAATTGGAGATGAAGGTAGTCCGGATAAGGAAAAATTCGGATAATCGAAACAAATACTTTAATTTGTCTTTTAATGATAATACAACACGTTTTCTTTTCGATGACATATCGATAATATTAAAAGTAAATACTCTATTTAACCGTGATCAAATTTTCAAGAAACAAACGTTCGTATTGAATTTGGACTACTATTGATCAACGCTAACAGACTACCTATTGTTTAAAAGGCCCTCTGGTAGCGCAAGAAGACAGATTTTTTAAAATAAAAAGCAGTTGAAACTGCATTTTTATGAAT